CCAGCTATAGACAGTGAAAGATCTTGTCAGTTTGATAGTGTTTGAGCGCGTGAAATCCGCAGCTTGCACTGTATGCTTCCCGGGAAGCTGAGAATGTTTCTGAGTGTTCTATGGTCTGCTGGGGTAATAATATAGTGTAAAGCGCATAGAGCCTGCTGTTGAGCAGGGATATGCGCTATACAAATGCTATCTATTATTATTATTTAGACCACTTTCTCATGCACATTAATGGACTGCAATTCAGCATTTTGTAACCTCCCTCACTGATGTACAAAAAGCCACAACAACCACGGTTTACACAATCCATGTAACACAACCGTCGACAACTGAAAAATGCTAAGATTGACTGATGCTAACACAATAATGGAATCAGACGATTGGAAGTAGGGGTGACTCAGCAAGCCGTGGCAAGGCATTTTGGCGTGTCTAAACAGACCATTGCTACGTTATTGCCACGGTACAACAACACCCAACGTGATAATGGCAGTCCTAGGTCAGGTCGACCTGGGTTCACTACTGCGGCCCAGGATCGTTATATCCGTGTGCGCTACCTTCGCAATCGAACCACAACAGCAACGTCTACAGCTGCTCAAATCTCTGGACATGGAAGAATTTCTGACCAGACAGTCCGCAATCGTCCCAGAGAGGCAGGACTCTTTGTTCGAAGACCAGTTCGACGTAACGAGTTGACCGAACCCAACATGGAAGAACGTCTCCACTGGTGCCAGCACAGAGTACAGGGATGAGACCCTGTAGCCTCATGTTGTTCCATGTATACCTGAACGTTAATGGTGGCATTTTGCTGCAGGACAACACTAGTCCGCATGTTGCATGGGTATTTGGAGACTTCTTGCGGTAAAAAAAAAACCATTCCGACTCATCCATGGCCTGCCCGTTCATCGGATTTGTCTCCAATTGAACACTTATGGGACGAGTTGGATTGGCGGGTGTGACAGAGGAATCCATCACCTAAGGCACTCCCTGAGCTCCTTGTGGCACTCGAAAATGAGTGACAGAACACCCCGCAACATATCATTGCAAACTTGATTGCATCCATGGTTTCCAGATACCGAGCAGTGATCAAAGCAAAATGTGCTCATACCAGGTACTGACTTTTTGTGTACCCTATCTGTTTACAAGCTTGTGCAGGAAATTCGTTTGTTCACCAGGATTTAACGTTTTGAACGTTTGTATAGTTACCATCTGCCAGAACTTTGCCTTATTTCGAGTTATTTATTACGTTCGCTGTATTAAAAAAATTCAGTTTTAAAAGTGAGTGTCAGGTTTCTTTTTTTGAAGAATATTGTTAACAGATTATAACAAAGCCAGACAGAAAAGACTGTAAACTTACAGGTAAATAGACAGGTCATGTTTACCATTTTCCATCAAAATTCTTCGATCTTAACCATCTTGTATACATCAGAATAACATTGAATATGTAGCTAGTTTAATATTATATTGTTTACATTGCTGCTCATTTATATTATGCATGATTGTGATTCTAAGCCTAAGTGTGTGTGTGTGTGTGTGTGT